AAATGTATTTAGCCAGGTGTGATGATGACTTAGGCCTGTAATCCTAGCACTTTGGAAAGCCAAGGCAGGAGGATTGCTTGAGCCCAGGAGTCCAAGACTAGCCTGAGCAAGAGTGAGACCCTATCTCTACTAAAAATAGAGAAATTAGTGAGGCATGATTATGTGCACTGTAATCCCAGCTACTCAAGAAACTGAGGCAGGAGGATAGCGTGGGCCCAGGAATTAGAGGTTGCAGTGAGCTATGATGATGCCACTGTACACTAGCCAGGCTACAGAGCAAGCCCCATTACAAAAAAAAAAAAAAAGAGGGAGACAAATTTTATTGAGCTCTTTAGTTTTAATATCAGAATTTATACTAATGTGTTACTCTGTTCTTAAGGTTGGAATACACACAAAAGCTTGGTTTATTGCTGGAATCTTTTTGCTGTTGACTATACCTATATCGCTGTGGGTGATATTGCAACACTTAGTGCATTATACACAACCTGAACTACAAAAACCAATAATAAGGTAAATCTTAATATATTTTGATTCTCCTAGTGTTGTGTTGGCTTATTTCAAAAATATGATGTAAAATGTTTTTATGTTTTGCTCTCCAAATAGGATTCTTTGGATGGTACCCATATACAGTTTAGATAGTGTAAGTATTTCTCATTTTTATTTCATTAACTAAGACGTTTGATGATAGTAACTATACTTACAGAATGTATGGGGTAATGAAAGCATATTACTGAGAATAAAGAGTCATACTAATAAAGGAAAGTAAAAAGACTCACTTGTTTTTAGTGGTAATAAACAAAATAAAGTATATCCTCATTAGTATAGTGGTGAGTTTAAAAAAAAAAGAACATAAAGTATTATAGAAAATGGAAAATGTGATATTTTAAATTTTTAAAAACCCGTACCTGTTTTCTTTGTTTAATCTTTTGGGGGTTTTTTTGGTTTTTTTTTTTGTTTGTTTGTTTGTTTGTTTTTGAGACAGAGTCTCATTCTGTTGCCCCAGGCCAAAGTGCCATGGCGTAATAGCTCACAGCAAACTCAAACTCTCCGGCTGAATCCATTTTCTTTCCTCAGCCTCCCCAGTAGCTGGGACTACAGGCACCAGTCACAAAACCCAGCTAGTTTTTCTACTTTTAGTAGAAATAGGGTCTCACTCTGGCTTAGGCTAGTCTCACTCTAGGCTGGTCTTGAAGTCCTGAGCTCAAGCAATCTACCCCTACCCCAGCCTCCCAGAGTGCTGGGATTACAGACGTGAGCCACCTCGCCTGGCCTGCTTCATCTTTTAAACTTTCAGGTCTGTAGTTCTTAGTCCTTTAAAGAATATGCTATTTTATATTATATTATCACCTTTTTAATTTAAGCTTTTTATACAGAATAAAAATTTTTAAACCTTCCCTAAGTGGATACACATGCAATTGTTATAGATGACTGCTCTAATTTGATTAAATATAAAGGAAATATCTTTAGCATCATTTTCTGTGATCATATTAAGAAAAATTTCAGATTATATTTAGGAACTCAAGTACTAATTTAGCTTCTCTCTTTATATTTATTATTTACCCCCACTTATCTTTTTGTTTACCAATATCCAAGATGTTTATTACTTTTAAAAATTCATTTCACAGATTGTCTGGTAGCCCTCATAATGCTAAATTCATGTAAGTATTTGACAAGACGTCTCAAGTTTAAAAATTAGCTTATTGTGAGTACCATAAAGTGGAATGGTAATTCATTTTATCTTAGCTGCAACTGTTTTTAACATCTGTGCTTTTTCATAGTGGATAGCTTTGAAATATCCCAGCATTGCAATATATGTGGATACCTGCAGAGAATGCTATGAAGCTTATGTCATTTACAACTTTATGGGATTCCTTTCCAATTATCTAACTAACCGGTATCCAAATCTGGTATTAATCCTTGAAGCCAAAGATCAGCAGAAACATTTCCCTCCCTTATGTTGCTGTCCACCATGGGCTATGGGAGAGTAAGTATGTTTGGCTTTAATTCTTTTGTTTTTGTTTTAAGCAAGCAGAGTTTTTAAGTAGCAATCAGCTCTCTAAAAGTCAGTATGTTTTAAATATTATTAGTAGGACAAAAAAGTATGAGTCCCTACCATGATGTAGGTCATCATCAAGGTTGAAAGCTAACAACACATTTTCATAATCCACGTAATATAGCCTTTTTTACATTATTCATATCAAAGCAGTTTTGGATATCTTTCTGGAATGGACATCAGAGCTGTCACTGTGTGAAGTCTGATAATTAAGTTTGTGAATTCAGCTGGGCGAGGTGGCTCACACTTGTAATCCCAGCACTCTGGGAGGCCGAGGCAGAAGGATCAACTTGAGCTCAGGAGTTCAAGACCAGCCTTAGCAAGAGCAAAACCCCATCTATACTAAAACTATCTAGGCATGGTGGCCAGCGCCTATAGCCCCACCTACTTGGGAGTTTGGGGCTGGAGGAACTTGACTTACAAAAAGTTTGAATTCCTCTTATCAAAAGTGCTTTGAAGGGTGGTCTAGACGCTGATGTTGATGCATACCTTCTCAGTTGGAAAGGTATAAAGGTGACTTTTATGATATTCAGCAGTGAGGTATGCAGTATGTTTTCTAGGATGAGTTTTCGAACTTAATTGTCTGACCTTATATATCTGATAATTAATAAAGCTACTTCCCTTTAGGAAGCATAATGTTTGGGGGGATTTTTTGGAGATAGGGTCTCACTCTATTACCCTGGGTACAGTGCTGTATTGTCACAGCTCACAACAAGCCCAAACTCCTGGGCTCAACCAATCCTCTTGCCTCAGCCTCCCAAGTACCAGGAACTACAGGTACCTGCCACAATGCCCAGCTGGTTTTTCTATTTTTAGTAGAGATGGGGGTCTCCTCCTTGTTCAGGCTGGTCTCAAACTCCTAAGCTCAGGCAATACACCTGCCTCAGTCTCCCAGAGTGCTGGGATTACAGGTGTGAGCCATCGCACCTGGCCATTGTTTGACTTCTAAGGTGCAAATGCCATGGCAAGTTTGCAGTTGGTATATGATAAAGCTAAGTCTGGTTTTGTGTTTTGTTTTGTTTTGTTTTGAGACAGACTCTTACTATGTCGCCTTTGGTAGAGTGCCTTGGCGTCACAGCTCAAAGCAACCTCCAACTCTTGGGCTTAAGTGATTCTCTTGCCTCAGCCTCCCAAGTAGCTAAGACTACAGGTACCCGCCACAACACCTGGCTATTTTGTTGTTGCAGTTGTCATTGTTGTTTAGCTGGCCCATTAAACCCACCAGCCTCGGTGTATGTGGCTGACGCCTTAACCACTGTGCTAAGGGTGCCAAGCCTAAGTCTGCTTTTTATACTCTGAATTCTGTAACATAATTAGTAAGCACAGTTTTTTTTTAATGAATATTCAATTTTGTATAGATAGTTCATGGGAGAGGGGAAATACTTTACCTAGTGACTGTGCATTTATACTTCTATATAAATGTTTTCCTAAAACAGTACTTATCTTTATTATTATTTTTCCCTCTTGTTTTTAAAATTCGGATTACAGCCTCTAAAGTTAAATTAACACAGTTTGAAAAATATCATTGTAGGTATTTACCTTGAATTGCTTATGCTAGGTTTTAAGTTTTATTCAGCTTCGTAAGTTAGTGGCAAATTGTTTTCTGAAGCATACCAAATTGCTATCCCACCATCATTAAAGAATAGTTGAACCACAACCATTGAACCACCTCACCTACATTTGGAACTACCCAGACTTCTTTATGTTTATCAAGAGGGTGTAATCCAGAGGTGTCCAATTTTTTTCCCCTCTGAGGCACATTGGAAGAATAAAGAGTTGTCTTGGGTTACATAAAAATACATAAACACTAACAAAAGCTGATTAGCAAAAAAAAAAAAAAAAAAGAGGTTTGCTTATTTTTCATGATATCTGACAACCCAGATAAGCAAAAAGGTCTCACAAAATCAGCATGTGACCCACAGGGGCCAGGTTTGAACCCGCCACCCTCAGTATATGGGGCCTGCGCCCTACCCACTGAGCCACAGGTGCCGCCCCTGTTTTGTTACTTTTCATTGTATCTATTGATAAACATTATCTCTTGAATTTTAGAATAGTTGAATTCATCAATCTTATTTTATAATTAGTTCTTTTGGAGTCTTATTCAAAAAAAATCTTCCCTAGCCCAAGATTATAAAACATTCTACTATGTATGTCTTCTGAACATTTCAAAATTTTACCATTAAAACTTAATAATCCATCTGAAGTTGATTTATGTTGTGTGACATAGAAATGCAATTTTATTTTATATTTATACATGAATTACTATAATTTATTAATTACCCTTAAAATGGGCCAAGTACAGTGGCTCACATCTGTAATCATTCTAGCACTTTGAGAGGCCCAGGTGGGAGGATTACTTGAGGCCAAGAGTTTGAGACCAGCTTTTGCAACTTAATGAGACTTTATCTCTACAAAAAATAAGAAAAATTACCCAGATGTGGTGCTACATGAGTTTGAGGTCTCAGTGGCTATAGTGACAGCATTGCACACTAGGATGAGCAACAGAGTAAGTCCCTATCTTCAGAAATAAATAAATAACTATGGCTGGGCCCAGAATGCTATATCCTAGTATTCTGGAAGACTGAGGCAGGTGGATTGCCTAAGCTCTGGAGGTCGAGACCAGCCTAAGCAAAGCAAGACCCCATCTGTACAAAAAAAAAACATGGCAGGTGCCTATAGTCCCAGCTACTCGGGAGGCTGAGGCAGGAGGATCACTTGAACCCAGGAGTTTTAAGGTTTCTGTGAGCTATGACCCCATGGCACTCTATCCAGGGCAGCTGTCTCAAAAAATAATAATAAATAAAAATGAATAACCTTAAAATGAAGGGCAAGTGCTCCAAACCTATTATTTTACACTCTTCTTACATTTTTGGTCTTATATACATTTTAGAAACAGCTTATCAAGTTGTTTGAAAAATCTTGAATTCAATGTTTAGTTTATTGATATCTATCATTTTTGAGTCTTCTTTTCCATGAATATGGTCTGGCTTTCCATTTATTTAACTCTTCATTTATATCTTTCAATAAAGTATAATTTTCTCATAAAAGTCTTTATCTTTTCTTGACTTAATATATCTTACTTCTATTATAAATGACATCTTTTAAAAAAATTAGTTTCACTGCTGCTGATGTGTAAAAAGGCAACTGATTTTGCAAAAATCTTACTAAATTTTCTTAGCCTGTAGATCTTCTTAAGTTCTCTCTATAGACAGTCATCTGCAAATGAGGGATCTGTTTCCTTTCTTTGTGAGAGGAAAATTGTAGAACTACTTAGTCTCCCTATTGTTTATGGAATCATGTTTTGAAATAGTGATTTAAGAAGGACAGATAAGGTTTTAAAATATATGGGCATACCTTAGTTTATATCTTCTTAATTTCTTTCAGGTCTATCATTATGATCCCTCTTTAACATCCCTAATGTTAACTATATGTTTGTTTTTTCCTTAATTAATCTTACCAGAAGTTTGCTGATTTTACTAGTTTTTTCAAGAACTGACGTTTGGTTTTGTTTATTCTCTCTGTGGTATATTCATTTTCAATTTCATTAATATCTGCTATTTTTACTTCCTTTTTCCCATTTCCTTTGGTTTACTACATTCATTTTTTAATGTGTTAACATTCTTAGCTCATTAATTCATAGCTTTTATTCTTTTTTTTTTTTTAAACTGAGTCTCACTATGTTGCCCTTGGTAGAGTGCTATGGTGTCACAGCTCACAGCAACCTCCAACTCTTGGGCTTAAGCAATTCTTTTGCCTCAGCCTCCCAAGTAGCTAGGACGACAGGCACCCACCACAACACCTGGCTATTGTTTGTTGTTGTTGTAGTTGTCATTGTTGTTTAGCAGGCCCGGGCCAGGTTTGAACCTGCCAGCCTCAGTGTATGTGGCTGGCACCATAACCACTGTGCACTGCCCATAGCTTTTATTCTTTTTTAATACTGCATTTAATATTACAAATTTCCTTCCAAATACTACATTCCCTGAATCCCATGGTTTTGCAATTTAATATTTTCTTTTCTTTCTTTTTTTTTTTTTTTTTTTTGAGACAGAGCCTCAAGTTGTCCCCCCTGGGTAGAGTGCTGTGGCATCACAGCTCACAGCAACCTCTAACTCTTGGGCTCAAGCATGTCTCCTGCCTCAGCCTCCCAAGTAGCTGGGACCACAGGCACCTGGCTATTTTTTGGTTGCAGCCATCATTGTTGTTTGGCGGGCTCAGGCTAGATTCGAACCCGCCACCTTAGGTGTATGTGGCTGGCACCTTAGCCACTTGAGCCACAGGTGCTGAGCCAATTTAATATTTTCATTACCTTTTAGTTCAAGGTTTTTAAATTTTCCACTAACATTTCTTTACCTGAGTTATTTTTATAACTGTGGAATATTTTTATACTTTTAAATTTTTGTATTTCCTTTGATTTTAGCTACTTGTTTGATCAGGGATTTGCCAGTTTCATTCTACACTTCTGTCAGTTTTTGCTTTCTAAATTTTGGTGGTGTTTTGTTAGGTGCATACATTTTTAAGGTTGTACTTTTTCCCATGAATTTAACTTCTACCTCTATGTCATGACTCTATTCTAAACCTTTTTGTCTTAATGTTGTTTTGGCTGATACGTATTAACAGATATCTGGATTTCCTTTGTTTGGTATTTGCCTGGCATGTCTTTCTCCACGTCTCTTCCATGTCCTAATGTTTTAGATACATGTTTTATTTTGTTTGATACCAAATCTCACTTTGTCACCCTCAGTGGTATCATGGCTTATAGCAACCTCAGACTTTTGGGCTAAAGGGATTCTCTTGTCTCAGCCTCCTGAGTACCTGGGACTACAAGCATCTGCCACAATGCCAGGCTATGCTTAGCTAAAGATGGAGTCTTGCTGTTGCTTAGGCAATCCACCTGCCTTGGCCTCCCTGAGTGCGAGGATTATAGGCATGAGCTACTATGTTTTGTTTTTTAAAAGAGTTTCATGGGGTCTTTTACTCTTTACAACCCATACTTGAACAGGTTAAGCAGTTTAGATTTTTGTGATTGATACATTCATTTGTAGTCTTGCCATCTTTTTGTTTTCATTCTTCTTGCTTTTTTTTTTCTCCATTGATTATAACTCACAGCAACCTCAAATTCTTGGGCTTAAGTTATTCGCTTGCCTCAGCCTCCCAAGTAGCTGGGACTACAGGCACCAACCACAATGCCTGGCTATTTTTTTGGTATAGTTGTTTAGTTGGCCCAGGCCAGGTTCGAACACACCACCCTCAGTATATGTGGCTGGCGCGGTAACCACAGTGCTACAGGTGCTGAGCCTGATTATATTCTTTTTAATAAACTTTTAAGTTTGGAAAACTTTTTTTTTTTTGAGACAGAGCCTCAAGCTGTCCCCCTGGGTAGAGTGCCGTGGCATTACAGCTCACAGCAACCTCCAACTCCTGGGCTCAAGCGAGTCTCCTGCCTCCGCCTCCCAAGTAGCTGGGACCGCAGGCACCTGCCACAACGCCCGGCTATATTTTTTGGTTGCAGCCGTCATTGTTGTTTTGGCGGGTACGGGCTGGGGATTCGAACCCGCCACCTTAGGTGTACGTGGCTGGCGCCTTAGCCGGTTGAGCTATAGGCGCCGAGCCGGAAAACTTTTAATTTACAGAAAAGTACAAAGATAGGACAGAGATTTCCCATTTACCCTTCACCTAGCTTCTCTTAATATTATTTTAAGTATTTGTGGTATATTTGTGATATTAGGTTCTCCAAAGAGATAGAACCAATAGGATACCTATATAGATATATGACAGAGGAGTTGTCAGGGGAATTGGCTCACAAGGTTATGGAGTCTAAGAAGTTCCACAACAGGCCATCTGTAAGCTGGAAACCCAGGCGTGCCAGTAGCATGGCTCAGTCAAAGTCCTAAACCCTCAAAACTCAGAAAACCACTATCATTAGTCCCAGAGTCCAAAGGCCCAAGAGCATGGAGTTCTGATGTCCAGTGGCAGGAGAAAAAGAATCCCTCAGCCCTTGGAGAGAAAGAGAGGACATGGCCTTTCCTATGCCTGTTCGTTCTGTCCAGGCCCACAGCTGATTGGATGGTATGGGATGAATTCCCACATGAAACTTAACTAAATGCATTGTGCTCTTTTAATTCCAGAAACTGGGCAAAAAGACTCATATTGTGCGTCTTTGTCAAGGCCTAGCAACCTGGGAGAGCATGGCAGGGGCCTGCAGGGAAGCCTCCTACATGGAACCCTGACTGTGCAGTCAGTCAGCCTGCTAGATAAAGGTTGAGGTGGCCCATCTGTGCAGGGGACATGACTCAAAAGTTGATGTGAGTGAAGGAATACTCCATTGTAATAGCGTGGGGCCTCCAAAGCCACAGAAAAAGTCATTGACCTCAGTTTCTGGAATTAAAAGAGCACATTTCATTTAGTTAGTTTTATGTGGGAATTCATCCCACAGGATGGTGCCCACCACTGGAGGTGGGTATTCCCCACTCAGTCCACACACACACGTGTCTCTGGAAACATCCTCACAGACACACCCAGAAAAAAGGCTTTACCAGTTCTCCAGGGATTCCTTAATCCACTCAAGTTGACACCACATTTCTCAAAACTAGGAAATCAGCACTGGTACAATATTAATAACAATAGACTCAATTCAGATTTCCCAAAGTTTCCCACTAATGTCCTTTTTTTGTCCCAGTGCCCAATCCAAGAATCCACTTTACATTTAGCCTTTTTTTTAAAGATTTTTTTATTTAGTACTTTAAGACAGTATAAGAAGGCTCAGCACCTGTAGCTCAGTGGCTAGGGTGCCAGTCATATACACCAAAGCTAATGGGTTCAAACACAACCTTGGCCTGGCAAACAACGACAATTACAACAAAAAAATAGCTGAGCATTATGGTGGGCACCTATAGTCCTAGCTACTTGGGAGGCTATGGCAAAAGAATCCCTTAAGCCCAAGAGTTTGAGATTGCTGTGAGTTGTGATGCCACAGCACTCTACTGAGGGTGACATAGTGAAACTGTGTCTGGGGGGAAAAAAAAGATATAAGAAGTTTGAGATCTTTCTAATTATTTAACAAAGATTTTAATAAATTTAAAATTTTCAAACAGTGGAGGAATACAAACAAATAATGTAACAGAAAAATCTGTTTTACACCATCTACAGTTATTTGCAGTTGTAAAATATTAAAAACTCTGAAAACCAAAAGCTTTTTCATAGCTTACTGAGCAGCAAATCTTGATCAGTTATAATCTTTGACTATTTGTAATGTTAATGGTGTATATACATTTATGTATTTTCACTGCAGCTATACCTATGTGTTTATTACAGGTGCTACTCCAGATCCTGCTGAGATCTTTCTTTCTTTCTTTCTTTCTTTTTTTTGAGACGGCCTTAAGCTTTTGCCCTGGGTAGAGTGCGGTTGTATCACAGCTCACAGCAACCTCTAACTCTTGGGCTTAAGTGATTCTCCTGCCTCAGCCTCCCAAGTAGCTGGGACTACAGGCACCTGCAACAACACCTGGCTATTTTTTGGTTGTAGTTGTCATTGTTTGTAGGCCCAGGCTGGATTTGAACCTACCAGCTCTGGTATGTGGCTGGTGCCTTAGCTGCTTGAGCTACAGGCGCCAAGTCAGCCTTCCCACAGCTTCACTGTGAAATGCCTAGGTGGCTTTGATTTTTAGTCCTGCTTGGTTTATAGTGTGCCTTCCATGTCTTTCATGAATGAATTCTGAACAGTTCTCAGCCATTAGCTCTTCAAACTTTTTCTCTCCCTTATTCTCCATTCTGGACCTCTGAATATGTTAGACTTTCTCATTATTTCTGCTCTTTGTAATGCTTCAGCTTTCTCATATACATCTTGTTTATGTAACCTTTGCCATATTCTAGGTAATTTCTTCAGATACATCTTTTAGTTGACTAGCTCTCCATAGCTTTCAAAGGAATTTAATAGTCTATTTAACCCATCTGCATAGTCACCCTTAGTCATCTCAGGTTTCGCTTTGCTTTGACAATTCATGAATCACTAGCAGTTTAACCCAGCTCTACCTTAATTTAGCTTTGTGAAGAGTATACAGCATGGATAGCCAAGGTGTTTTCATCAAGAGATCTTGTAGCAAGCCCAAGTGTAACTCTTACACCTCACCATTACTGTCTGTACACTGAGTTGTAGTGGAAATAAATCACTTCGGCACAGAGGACCTGTTAGGTTTTATTTGGTCCTCATAGTACAGCACCTTACGGGGTCTGTATGCCAGTCTCACAGTCTTCTAGACTAGGCGTAATCCTTAAATTAAGGGACTCAGAATAAATAACTTTTGACAGCCAGTTCTCCTGTAGAAGTCTTGAATAAACATTTGCCTTAGAACAACTTGGTCTAAACCTTAAGAGGGCTTATACATGGTTCTCAGGACTATTTTTGGCAATTGTTGTTTGGGGTTTTGAGTTTTCCCCTATAATTGAGTGAGCCTGATGAAAGAATAAAAACTGTTCTGTGCAGGATCTTTGTTTTGGCCTTTCAGAGTATCCATTCAGTGATTCTCTCTGGAATGATACCAAACTTGAAATGATCCTACATGTAAATAATACCTTATAAATAAATATGCATTCACATACACACATAAAATTCATTTGTTAGTTTTTCTTCCAGAAAAACAGGGACCCACTTTTGTGACTTTTGTTCTGTGTTGCACTATTCAAGAACTTGACACTATAAACAAAAAGGGAGATCTTTCTAAAGACGTAATTGTTAAATAATTTTAAAAATGGCATTTAGTTAATTTGTTTGCTGCCATCCACATTTTTCTCTCACCACTATGTAGGATAACAAAATTGAAATATAAATATGATACCCTTTGTCAGAGTGATTTTAATTTGGAGCTTCTGGGGAAATCTGGTGCTGAAATGCTGAGTTATTTTTCTTTTGCAGAGTATTGCTGTTTAGGTGCAAACTAGGTGTATTGCAATATACAGTTGTCAGACCATTCACCACCATTGTTGCTTTGTAAGTACAGAGATTTTATATATATTACCATTAAAAAAAATTGTGCTTTTCTGTGGGGACAACTAAGTAGAAAAAAGAAAGTATTTCAATTTACTTCTTTAAGGCAGGTCTAGTCTGCTTTAAAAAACACAGGGTACAGAAACTCTATTGAAACAAATAACATGATAATTTAAAAGCAAAGAATCACCTCATATTTACATCCTCGCTACAGCTTGCTATAAAGCACTTTGAAAAATGCTTTCTTTTCAAATACAGAGTTTTATAGAAACCTTTTTATACAGAAGTTAAATAAGCTACTTTAGGTCAGTTGTATAGTTTTATTTTCTAAATAATTAATTTAGAATATTTGAGAGACTCCAAGAAAGAAATCATATTTGTCTTTAAAATATTCTGTCAAGAGTTTGAATTAAGGTAAAATGGAGTATCATTAAGCTACTTGGCAAAACTATTCCCTAAAAATGTAGGGACATCAAATAATTTAACGCAGAAAGACTGCATGTTTTATTACCAACATTCTGCATGCTTACAATGGAAAAACTGGAAAGACTCGTGAAAGAATTGTTCATTCTGCCTTTGAGCTAGCAATAGTTATTTAGCCAATTAAGGCAAGTTCATTTATTTGTGAAGACTTATTTTATTTCTCTGCAGTTTAGAAACTGGTTAAGCATATAACTTAATATTCATGGTAATATTTACCTGAGAGGATCTACATATTCATAAAATTTACCTCGAGGACAATTTAGGAGAAAAAATTACAACTCCATTTATGGACTGCATTGTATATTAAATGGTCAAGCTTTTTAAAATTAGGCAGCATAGTTTTTCTTTTTCTTTTTTTTTTTTTAGAGACAGAGTCTTACTTTGTCACCCTCAATAGAGTACTGTGGTGTCACAGCTCACAGCAACCTCCAGCTCTTGGGCTTAGGTGATTCTTTTACCTCAGCCTCCAGAGTAGCTGGGACTACAGGCACCCACCACAACCCCTGGCTTTGTTTTGGTTGCAGTTTGGCCAGGGCCAGGTTCGAACCCACCATCCTGGATATATGGGGCCAACACCCTACTAAGTGAGCCACAGGTGCTGCCCGGCAGTATAGTTTTTATTAATTTAATAATCACTGTTTCTAGTTCAGTATTTTGTGTCTTTGTTTTGATTTCCTTCAAGTTGGAGAAATAATCACATGGTAACATTTCTGGAAAAATGTATTTTTTGAACTGATGCCTCTATGGCTAAAGTCAATTGATTATGAGATCTTTCATATAAACTGACTTCTGAATTTTAGCATTGTTGTCACTGTATTATAAAGTACACTTGACTTAATCATAAAGATGCCTCATGTTTAATTTTTCAGAATTTGTGAGCTGGTTGGTATATATGATGAAGGGAACTTTAGCTTTTCAAATGCTTGGACTTATCTGGTTATAATAAACAATATGTCACAATTGGTAAGTAAATATTCATTTTCTTAACTACTAAATCAGTGTCTATGAATCTGAATTTTTTTAGGCAAAGTTTCTTAGAATAAAGTTGGTTTCTTTTTAATCTTGAAATCCATAAGAAGACTTGAAAAAACTTTAATATACCTCTTTAGATATATATATATGTAGATATAGATATAATTTTATCTCTGTTAATTATTTGGTGACTTATGCCCTGACCTGTTGGTCAGTTTTGTTCTTTGATTTCTGTTGCTCATTGCATAGCTGTGTGGATAGGTCATAAATAAAAGCATAGTTCTCTTCAAGTGAACAAAATAGAGTACATATGCAACACACCAAAAAAATGTATATGCTGTGCATAATCAGTTAAAGGAAGTGTTGAATTGCTGTCAATACAGATATTGAATAAGAGAATAGGCTCAGCACCTGCAGCTCAGTGAGTAGGGCACTGGCCATATACACCAAGGCTGGAGGGTTCAAGCCCGGCATGGGCCTGCTAAACCATGACAACTGCAAGAACAACAACAAAATAACTGGGCGTTCTAGCAGCACCTGTAGTTCCAGCTCCTTGGGAGGCTGAGACAAGGAAATCACTTAAGCCCAAGAGTTTGAGGTTGCTCTGAGCTGTGACGCCACAACCAAGGCAGTGTCAACCAAGGGCAACATAGTGAGACTCTGTCTTAAAAAAAAAAAAAAAAAGCTATTATAGATAGATACTTTTTTTTTATTTTGGCTGAACAATAGCTTTTTCTTCCATTTGTATCAGTCATTTGATTATTGATTGCTTTATGGGGCCAGGAAGTGAACTCTTAAAAACTTTTATTTTTTTGAGACAGAGTCTCATTTTGTTACCCTGGGTAGAAATGCTATGGCCTCATTAGACCTCACAGCAACCTCAAATTCTTGGGCTCAAGAGATCCTCTTTGTCTTGGCCTCCCAAGTAGCTAGGAGAGACTACAGGCACCCAAAAGAAAGCCAGCTATTTTTTCTGTTTTTAGTAGAGACAGAGTCTGGCTCTTATTCAGGTTGGTCTCCAAATCCTGAGTTTAGGGAATCTGCCCATCTCAGCCTCCCAGAGTGCTAGGATTACAGGCTTGAGCCAGACGCCCAGTCTCAACTTAAAAACATTTCCAAGGAATATGTTAAATACATTTATTTTGAGAAATTTCATATGGTCATTATTCATCTACAATAAATTACAAAATCTTGTTAACCTAAAAAGAGAATAAAAGCCTAGAAAAATTTGCCTGAAACATTACTCTGTACCAGGTCTCTGGTATATAATGTTAATATTTCTATTACCATATATAATTACTCATACTGAAGCAGTTTAAATGTTAATCTTGTTTCTAGTTTGCTATGTATTGTCTCCTGCTATTTTATAAAGTCCTAAAAGAAGAACTAAGTCCAATCCAACCTGTTGGAAAATTTCTTTGTGTAAAGCTGGTGGTTTTTGTTTCTTTTTGGTAAGTGTTACATTCTCTTAAATGTTCTTATTTTCTAAATGGCAACAAAAATTGTTGATTAAGGAGGATTTTTTAAAGTCTTAATGCAGAAGATGAACTGTACTTACCTTTTTAAAAGCTCATCCCTTTAGCCCTTCTAGAATTTTCACAAAGAAATAAATAAGATGGTCATTATGAAATTTATAAGAAGAAAATAATTTGAGACAGCTTAAATTATCTCCATAATAGAAGAATCATTACAATAAGTCAAGATCCTGTCATACAGAATTCTATGCAGTTTGGAAGAAAAGCATGACATAGAATATTTAATGATGTGGGAAAATGTTTATCAGTAAATTTTTCTTTTAAATAGAAGATCTCAGTTCAGTAAAGAGGAAGGTAGTAAGAATCCCAGAAACAAATATGCCAAATGTTAACAAGATAGAAATAGAAAAGGAGAAAAGGACAAAAAAATTCTGAAATCCCGCCACCCAGAAAGAATGAGTAACATTTTGGTACATCTAGGTCATATTTAACTCCACAGAAATAGTTTCATACTATAAAAACTTTTGTGATATATATGGTTTGTTTTTTTGCTTTTGCTTAGTGGTGTTGCGTAAATATAAATTTTTTTTTTTTTTTTTTTTTTGAGACAGAGCCTC